AAAAAAAAAAAAAAAAAAAAAGTCATGGTGAGAGGGAGGAGGAGGAAGGGAGGGCTGAGAAGACTAATGCATAGGACAGAGGGAGTGAAAGAATGGAAGCAGGAGAGCAAGGACTGGAAAAATTTGCTTGCATCCTGACTGGCTGGATGAGCTTCCTGTGCACGCTTATACGTCATAATACCAGATGCAATGATCTTACCAGATCTCGGACAGCCTGCCTCCTATTACACAATTTTAAAACATACCCAAACACAAACACACAATTCCACTGACTGAAAGTACAAAAAAGATTTCAGCAGTCCGTGTCTCAAAAATATAACAAAAATATTCACACACATTAAAAAGACTGACCAGTCTGTGTTGCAGGTCAAGCTCATATCACCACCACAGCATCCTCTCTACCTAGCTGTTCTCACACTTCACTATCAATGAACCATGGACAGGAAAATTTTCCAGGAATGAGAGCCTTGATAAGACCTGATCGACAAAGTCAACAGTGAAACTACAGCCAGATGGTGTGAGCTGAGAGGAAACACACAGAAGCAGCTGGACTGAGTGATCACTATAACTTGCACTCTTCATGATCAAATCTCCTCACTCCTTTTCCCACTCACTACCACTGCATCTTCCAGTGTTTGTAGTGTTTCTGTGTATGCACAAAGGTGATGGAGAAGAGTTTAAGTGGAGAACAAGGGAAAAAAAGCAGGACATTTACACTGTGTGCAGTTTAGTGGGACAGGAGAGGAGGGGTGTGTGAGCTTTGCTGATGAAAGCTGTATCTGTAAAAGGAAATTATAGTATCATAACAGAGAATCTACAGTATGCAGATGTATACAAGCTCTTCTCAGTATTTCCCCAATGTCCTCAACATGATTTTATTACAAACTTTTTTCAATCATAGTTACAAAGTGCTGCTGAGACAAAGAATAAGAAAGACATGAAAAATGATACTACTGAATATGTTAAGAAAAAGAAGAATCTTCTGATCTGCTGAATTTCAGTATGCAGATATGTAAAGGAAAATTATTCACAGAGTTGCTGTCTGTTCATTCAAGCATATGTAATATTTCCATATACCTGCTTTTATATATATTTTTTTAAAAAGCTGAGAAGTGTGGCCAAAAAGCTGGCAAATCATAAAAGAGCACATACTGTACATGCTAATGGAAACATGTTTACAAGAAGACCTTGATGTCACGGTAACTGCTTTGACTTATTCTACTGCATAAAAACCAATGGCAGGCCTCCACTCCACAAGAAAGCCCCAAAATTAGAAAAAAGAGCAGAGGTGTCTGGAGTGCACTTACTAGAACCACAAGGTTGCCAGGTTTGTTTCCAGGCAGGGGCCCTTTTTACATGTCACTTTCTTTCCATCATCACACTTGGCTGCCAAAGCACTGCACACGTGATCAGAGAAAATGTGCTCACAAGTAGGAAGCCGATAGAAAATATCACAATTAACCTGGTAAGTCTTGAACATTAAAAAAAAAAAAAATGTAGAAGCACCAAGTTTTAGACCATATAAAGCCTGGCCCTGCATCAGTAAACAATCAGCTCATGTTCAGGCCCAGGGTTCAACATTGCAAAACACACTTTAGTTTCCAGCATTGACACAGCTCGCTTTCATCATCAGCATTGACGTAACTAGAACATAGTGATCGGCTAACTTTTCACTTAACCAGTGACATATTTCAACACTTCTTGAAAGCTTGGCACCAACTTTTGCTCTGATATTCATGGTTCCCAGAAAGATATTTGGTCCAAATAGCCATGATCTGAACAGGGTGAATTGTCAAAACTGACCTTTCACCTAGTGCCATCATGAGGGCAAAATTTCAGTTTGTCCAAAACTTTGATTTATGACAAAAGACCTACAAAACAACAGCACCGCCATCATCCTCAGCCATACTAATGCTAATCTAGCATGGTAAGCTTTGCACCTGCTAAACTCATGCTAGCCTTATCATTGTGAGCATGTTTAAAGTACTGCTGTTTCTAAGTACAGCCTCAAAGATCTGCTAGCATGGCTGTAGATTTTTAGTTTTAACTTGTGCATAATGAGCAGCTCATTTATTTACCTCCCCAGTTTACTTTTTGTTTTCACTAGAGCATGAGCTTTACTGGGATTGTGTAAATTGCAGTGAATGCCAGCAACCACAAGTACTTTTGGATTCATGATGACATGGATTCCGCATCAAAATAACTTTAAACCAATGGGTCCTTTAAAATTTGAAAAAAATGGAAAATACAGAGCCTTGAGAGTCAATACAATCTAAGTAAAGAGAAGAAAGGAATCAGAGCCTTTGATAGCCTACACAAAAAAGGGGGGTGGGGGGGTTATTCCACTGGTGGCTGGGTCCTCCCCCAGCACTCGTCACTGCTTTGTCACCGACACTACATCAGGTTCCCAGACGGGTCCAGCCATGTCATGAGAGGAAAAAAAAGACTGTCAAAGAAGTAAAAAAGAAGGGGGCGAGGGAGGAAGATAGACAGGCTCTGAGTTAATAGCGGTGGATTGAGATGGGGAAGTAATTACAAAACTACAGACAAAGGCTACACACGAATAGGCATCCCTGAGCCCTGGCACACATCCATATAGCGGAGGGCAGGAAGCTGTTCTCGCTGAGTGAGGAAGTAACCCCATTTCCTCGAATTGCTGTACAAGCCTCTACATCCAGCAGGCCAAACAATTGTCATGGTAACTTGCAATAATATACCCTTAGCTCAGCATGGAAGGAGGGAGACGAGGCTCAAACTAAACACCATTACCCTAAAGGCAGCCTTTCTTGCCCACACAAACAGCAGAGAAACTAAGCAGACAAACCAAGAAGGGCTTTTAGGCTTTAGCCTCCCAGGTCAGCTTCGGTTTGAGGGTGGTGACTTACAGGAAGAAATAGCTCAGTGCTAAGAGAAACGGTAAATGGATGTGATCACTACGGACATCTTTCAGGTTAAATCTAAATTCTAGATATTATTAAACAAACATATCTGCATCATTAAACCTGATCCACTTCTAATGCT